TTGATTTTCCACTACCTATTTAAGTATATTTAATGTGTAGAAAACCAAACAATATGGGCCCATGCTACCGGAAGCATAGGATCCGTATAGGGATCAGAAAGAGTCACAAAGTTACTAAGAAAATGGTTGACGAGTGAGTAGTATGAGGTAGCACTATAATCTAGTTTTGACATATTTCCTTTATATATTACAACATAGTGATGAGTAGTTCGGGTGCGGCACGAGTGATCCAGATAGATTGGGTGTGAGTGATGTTGAGATTCGTGATTTAATTGTTGTCGAGGTATCAACGGTCATGAGGTAGATGATTCCAGAGATGTTAAGGTCTATCAAGACTGAACTAATTGTCATGCTTGACGAGAGATATCTTGTTTGGAACTGATGTTGCTGGTTCCACAACTATAGTCGTTGTCACCGCTGCTTCTGGACAGCAGATAGCCCGAACGGTGACTTATCATGAGTTCTATACGACCCATCCCCTGATTTTGATAGTGGTATGGATCTGATCGCCAGAATGAGATGGATTGTCGATGTGGAGAGTTACTTTAGCATGTGTATTTTTGTCTGGATGAGCTGAAGGTGATGTTTGTTGGATTAAGGTGTCTAGGCTCACAACTAAATTGGTATAAACTTCTAATTAGAAGCAAAGTCCTTTTTGGGTTGCCTTCATAACTATAACATGGTTAACTGACATTTATAGAGAGAGGATAATTTATTAGATTATTATATGATTAATAAACTAATTGGAAATTATAAGGAAATGATTTGTTATATTATATGATTAATATATTAATTGGAAATAGATAATTGGTTTGTTAATTTATTATGTGATTAATAAAATTAATATGAGATCAATTATTAAATAACTGATTTGTTAATTTATATGATTAATAAATTAATATGAAATCAATAAGAATTGATTAATTATTAATCAGAATTAATGTGGAATTAATTTAGGCTTAATTAGAATTAATTAAAGGTGTAAGGGGTGAATTCTAGTTGTTCATAATTGAGCACGGAGAGGCAATTCTAATACCTACCACCATATGGACGGTTTTGGGAGCTATTTTAGGTTATCCAGAAGCCTCTTGGTAGTAGATAAGGAAATGATTTGATCTGGGATTATATTTTATTATTTAATCATTCAAATCTTGATTTGTCCCTAAGTTACCTAAGTTATAAATAGGACCCCTTGGGAGCCAAATTTCGTGCATACTCTTTCCAAGAAGCATATAAACGAAAATTATACCTCTCTCCTCTCTTTTCTCCTATCTTCTAGTTCTAGGGTTTTGGTGTGAGCCATTAGAGGCATCATCCTTTTGGTGTTAAGCTTTCTAAGACCAACAACTATAAGGGATTGAAGTGATTTGTTTACTACAATGAATAAAAGGTATGTAATCCTAACTTGATGATTTTGATTATATTAGGGTTCATCTAGTTTTTGTTATTCATGTATGTTGCCTTCAAAGTGTAAGACATAGATCCTTATAGGTTGCATGTGTCATTCTTAATTGTTAAGTGATTTTCCACATTGTACATGTGTTATAACCTATAAAACCCATCAATGTTTGTGTTGAACCTTCTTAAGCAGGGGGCAAAGGATTGGTGGGGTTTGGTTTCTAAGACCCTTTCTCTTTCTGAGTGTGAGGCTATGACTGAGAGCAGTAGACTGAAATGTTTAGAGCATAGTATATTCCATAAGTTAAGAGGAGCTTTCGGGTAGGATTATCTGTCCCTAAAGTAGATGATAGAGTCGGTGACTGAGATCGCCAATAAGTTTACTTAGTCGGTCCCTGAAGTGGATGACAAAGTCTATTTGGTCAGTATTATTTATCAATAGATCATTCAAAACAACTTATTTCTTTCTTATCCTAAAAATATTATCTAATAGTAGAAAACAAATATTACAAAGTATTTCTATTATATTAATGTTATAAAAATATTGATAATATTTATTGGATATATAAAACTAAAAACAAAGTTTTAAAAGGTTTGGACTATATTAAATAGTATCAAAATACCGGTTAATGGATTTTTTATTGTTTGTTATTCGGCTAATACCCAAAAACATTAGTAAAACCGTAAATTCCAACATATTTTTAATTTTTACCATGATGTCATTTGACTTTCACCATATTGATGTGAAACTCACTAATCTTTTTAATTTCCAATTTTAATTGCTTTGTTAAATATAAATATTATAATATTAATGGTATATTCTTTATGTTATTAACGCAAACCAAAAAATATTTTTAGAGACTATTTTTCTAGGCATTTCAAAAAGTTTAAATTCGTTAAATGTAAAACCAAATTTGAAATGTCAAATTAACTTTAAAATATTAAAAAACAATTTTTTATAATAATTGAATTTTTTTCAAAATGGACTTTACATAAATTAACATTAATAGTTAAAAGTAACATACATATCTAAATTATATCATGTTACCTTACAAACAAGTTGCCGATAGAGCTCATTCATTGATGTAATTCCAATAGATATTTATCATATAATATCGTTCAAAATAATAAAAAAAATTATATATCAAGTTAGTGTAAGAACTATTATTTCATAGTTAATGGTATTAACATAATTATTTTCAATAACATGTATTTGAAAAAATTATAACTACATAACATTATTCTGCGCAACGTGTGAAAATTCGTCTAGTATAATTTAAAAAATGTCATTTTCTTATCATCACATTAAAGTCATTATTGCTCTAATTACAATATTAATTCTTTGTTTTCAGTATAATATACTAAATTTGTTAATTTAATACTATATTAATTTCAAAATACAAATTTAATATACTTAGTTTATTAATTTTAAACCTCCTGTTTATAATTATTAATCTAATATATTAATTTCTTAATTCAAATATGGTGTTAAATTCAAAAAATAAATTTAAATTCCAAATAAACTTATAAATACAAAATTCAAAACCTATTTTTATACATAGTTTTAAAGTTTAAATATAAGATCTAAATCAAAATGTCAAATTAACAACAAAAGTTGATCAACAACTGCTTTTACACTGATAATTATTTTCAAAAGAGAATGTTTTAAAATTATTTAAAAATATTAAAAGATTAGTATGGTGTTAAAAATAGAGCCTACATCGATATAGTTTGAAAAGCATTCAAAAGTTATAAATATTAAATATAAAACCTAAATAAAAATGACAAATTCACACGCAACTTACAAATATAAGTTATTGAAATGACATAATCATAAAAGATGTATATCTAAAAATAACTACAAATCAAGAAATAAAGTTTTTATTTTTTTTATTTTCATGGACAATTAATGCCCTTTCTTCCTAATATTTTTGGTTGTAAGCAACACGCTAATGCATGCCATGTTAGCCCTACGTATGCATAAAAATCCAATTCATTGACACATCAGCACATGATGACATAGAAAACCTTCATGTCACCCGACCAAAACTCTTAGTCATATTGCCACTTTAGCATATGGTGACCATGAAAACCTTCAAAATGTGATAAATGGTAAAAACTTTCCAAAGTTTGGGTATTTACACACCTAAAAAATGTTTTAGGGTAAACCCATATATTTTTTTGACAAGCTTAAGGGCTTTTGTGTCAATATCCCTTATAACATTTTATTCAAATATAAAACAATTTTCACTACTATAATTGGTCTACGGTGGTATAATAACAAAAGTGTAAGTAAATGAGGAATGGTTTGAGTCTACAGATTTGGGTCGGGCTGGCCTTTTATGTCAAGCTCACATGATGAACTAATAGGTTGCTTAAAATATAACGTTATTGCAAAAAAAATTTCAAAATACGATGTCTTAATAAAAAAAAAGATGAAAGTGTAATGCTAAAAGTTGTATAGAATGTGCAAAGTACAATGCTATGCAATAACGATCCGAAAGTAGGTTGCTATAATAAACAAATGTATGAAAGTATGTTGTACTTCTTGCATTTAGCCCTCAGATCGTATAATGTTTCACCATCTCCCCGGATTTGTTCCTCTTGTTGCAGATAGAAGAATTAATGATTTCATCGAGAGCAACAAAGAACTTTAGCCTATTCACACCATCTCCATATTTCATAGATTAAGCAACAATATGTAAAGATGATTTTGATATATTTCATGGTATATGAAGTTGGTTTAAAAAAATTAAAAACGATAAAGTCAAATTACAACCTTTTCCCATCTCATTTTTAAGGGTGTGCATTATTTGGTTCAACCAAACCACACTTTAAATTCGGTTTTTCATTTGGTTTCACTGAAAAACCGAATTTAATTCGGTTTTTCATTCCGTTTCAGGCCAAACCGAATTATGAATTTGGTTTATAGTTTATCAATTACGGTATCATCAACTTCAGACCAAAACAAACCGTATTGCTGAATTTAATTAATTAATTAATTAATCATCTGAAGAATCTGTACTTTTATAGTTTAAAAGTTCAATAAAAAAAACATGAATACATACTAGTTTGGAGGAAAGCTTGACAAGCGACTTGGAAAAAATTTCGAAATTTGGATTTTATGATCTACTGGAACTTTGTTTTTAATATTTGGGTTGGAACTTTTTTTTATATTGAAAGCTCTTTTAATTTTGTGAATAGAAAATTGCAACTTCGGATTTTCTTTTTAACATTAATAAGTGGTTTCCTTGGATATCAATCAACCCGAATTATAATTTGGTTTTTGGTTTCATCCGAATTCCCTAAAATTTAGATTGTTTCCGTTTTATGTTTGTGCCAAAGAAAATTTCAAACCAAATAAACCTAAGAACCACAAACCGAACCATTATACACCCCTACGCTATTTTCTTTTAAACCAAAAGTCCTACCAAATATTTTCTGATTACCTAATCTAACAAAAATCACAAATTCAAAAGTCGTGATTTGCACTTTTAAGTATCCTCACTCGCTTTCTTCTAGTGAGCTATAATGTATACGTTACAAGTATATAAACATAGAAATATATATAATTATATACACTTGAACAAATATTTCATCTTTTATGAAATCATCAAGTCAATTTCATCAATGTTTTTCTCTATGACATCAATGCAAGACCCTACCGATTTCCCCGCTGACATGGCGTTCGCGAGATGAGTTCGTGCTCTTTCGTGGCGGCGTAAAATTAGGATGGTGTTGAGTACCGCCCATCTCACTTGAGAATCCGCCTTCTTTTGAGTGAATCCCAAGCTGTTTAACAACTTATCCAACTATAATACATAAAATTTTGTTGTCTGAATAAATAACGTTTAAAACATATTTGATAAAAAAAAATTGCTATTTGAAATTCTTTTTCCTTTATAAAAAACTGAATAAAATATAATTCAAGAAAGTTTTACCGTGTTAACATCAGAAAGACCTCCTTCAGCATAACCATAAAGAAGGTATTCAGTTGCAACTCCTGCTAATGCTATACATGAAAACCTGTTCAACATCTGAAAACCAATAATAGATTATTTAAAAAAAAATTATAATTTACAAAATTGTAAAACGTAATATTTGTTGTACCTTGGCTGATACTCTTCCTGCGCTTATCTGCACACACAAATTTGCATCAATCAAAACCAATTCAACACTGGAATCTTTTAGAAAGAAACATACACAAATAAACAAAAACACATTGCTAATTCTTGCATTTAGACCTTATTTCAACAGTATTAATCTACAAAATTTGAATTTAGGAAGTGTGATAAGAAGAATCATATGAAAGCTTACTTCTTCAGTAAACTCAAAATCTACAAAAACAGTCCCTGCTTGAACATTGAGTGATCCTTCCCGCTGAAAAGCTTCCAAAACTTGATAGTGTATATCCCTTTGGAAGTATTCCCAATAAATAAGCAATCAAGAAATGTCCAGCTTCATGCTACAAGAACATAATCTTCAAAATGGTTATCTCTCAAAACACAAATTTGATAAAAAAAAATGTGTGTGTTTGTGTATGAGAGAGAGAGAGAGGAATTACTTGAATAACTCTGTTGTGATACTTTTGACTAATGTTATGGCCAATAGTATCAAGAACTAGACTGCTAAATCCTCCAGCAAAAGCCACCTATCAACAATCAATTGCATTAGGACTAATGTCAATTAAAGTAAATTTATAATTAATATATATTGCCAGATTTTGGAATAGATACCGAATCAAGTGTCCAAAGGAAAAAGATTCCCAATGAGAAATATAAGAGCTCTTCTGGGCCTAAATCAAACAAATTCCAAGCAGAAATGAACCCTAACAAAGCAGCAATCTGTAGATTTCTTTCTATAGTACCCAGAGTGTTGTCTTTTGGGGATAAAAGAGCTGAAGTCTCTATGCCATTGAGTTTTAATTCATTTAAGCTGTATAGCCTCTGGGGTACCTGTATTAAATCTTCTTATTCAGTCATCAAGAATTCAACTCTACAAGGTGAAAAACATACTGTTACGAAAGGTTGATCTGTAAATCGATGAGTTAATTTGAAGATTGTATATGGATTTGTTTAAATTTCACGGATTTCAGGTAGGTTTTTACCTGCTGAGCAGCACCAAAGCATCTCAAACCGCCTGGTTTAGACTGCAAATCCTTAACCAGAGAGAGTGCAGCTCTATCATCGCCTTTATTGAGCTCCTTATCCAGTTGTTCCAATAACGCCCTTCTCAATTCGCCATTAACACCAGCTTCTGATGATGATGATAAGCTCTTTACATTATGATTATATCTATGTCTTGAAATTGAAGTTGTTGTTCCCCATAATCTCCACTTTAAACTCCATTCTGGGGCTGTGGTGTTGAATGTGGATAACAGCAGACCGCCATTCATAACCCTAACTGAAACAATGCTCGGCTGAACTCAATCCTCACAAGATTACGTCGATGATGCTTATAAGCTTTGTAACACACAAGAAAAATGCACAACAACCAATCCTCGAGATTTTTTGAGAGAATTTCTATGGTTTTCCACTCATGAACGATTGACTGGTAGTCGTGTCGAAAATTGGAGGGTGTTTGGCAAATTAAAAATTACTTTTAACTTTTTAATCATTTTTAACTTTTTTTTAAAAAGTTAAAAATTACTAAAAGTTGTTTGACAAATTAAAAATTTCTTTTAAAACCAACTTTTAGTCGAGAAGGAAAAGTTGGCTAGAGAAAAGATAGGAATTCCTATCTTTTTGTGACTTTTAGCTTTTATACTTAAAAGTCATAAAAGACAAGTCAAACACATTTTAAACACCATCTTTTAGACAAAGTTCTTTTATAAAAAGTCCTTTTACAAAAAAGACTTTTATGTTCAAAAAACAATCCCAAACACACCCTTGGACTGTGAACGCTTGGGTATTGCTTTGCGTTCTCACCCTGGCAGGCTTCCTGAACCACGAACCACTTGTATTTCTCTCATTTTTGGATATCGACTGTTTTTGAGATTAGGATAAGTTTGGTTATTATTTTCGTTTTCAGTTTTAGGAAAAATTAAATAAGTTTTTTGTTTGAAAAATTTAAAAGCTTGGTCAAAATTTATTTATTTTTTATTTTCTGTTTTACAAAATTAGAAAACGTCTCTAAATATGTATTCTTTTTATCAGATTATTTCCATGGTGGCAAGATGTTTGTGGGCAAAGTGAAATGTGGTGGTGGAAAAGGTGGTGATGATGGCGACAATGTTGGTGATGGGGCAAGGATAGAGAAGTGGTGGTGAGGATGGTGACGGCGTTGATGGTATAGCAGTGATGGTGGTGGGGGTGGTGAGGATGGTGATGACATTCATGGTATAGTAGTGACGGTGGTGGATAACTAATTGCGGTAATTGTTGGCCTTTGGAGTGAGAGTTTGGATGTATTTATATTATAATTTTTTTTTTTTTGGAATTTGAGAAATATGGAATACAATAATATTATCAGTTTGAGGAAATACCATAAAAACCACAATATTTTCATACGTAATTTGGAAAAATTCTATTATTATTATTATTATTTATAATTTGCTCTGGCCACAAATGGGATGTAGAATTATCACTCTAGCCCATTTAACAGGTTTCATGGTTAACCATGTTATCTTTTTTGCAAAATCAGATCTAAAATTGGTTTTAAAGTTCAAATTTGGTCTCTATAGTTCGCAAAAAACTACACATGTTCAAAACTCGATTTTTATGTTTATTAACTTCTTTATTTTCAATTATTATTTTTTTGTCAAAACAAAACTTTGTTTTATATTTTTTTTTCATTTTTTTAATATTTTTCGTATTTTTTTTTAGTTTTTTGGTTTTTTCATTTGTTTTTACGTTTTTCGTATTTTGATGATTTAATAAATGCATTTTCAATTTCATTTTTTCCTTAAAAAAATTCGAAAAACGGTTTTTTTTTTTTTACTAAACGCACCCTTAAATGTCCTATTTTTGTGAAAATTACCAAAGTGATCCTTTAATTAACTTGACCAATCTTTTTATGTGAAAAAATTATATATCTTAAATTACTTTTTCTTATAAAATCTGAAAATTTAAATTCCATGGTGATTTAGGAACAGATTATTTAGGTCCGATCCAGAAAAGACAATAGTCCCCGAGCGATCGTCCAACCCAATTCTCTAGGAGACCAAAATAATTTCGGAAGTTTTTACAATTCTTTTTAAAAGATATATTATAAGAAGTAGAAAAGATGAGATGCATGCAATCAGCCAGGAGGCCAGAGCCAAAAAAGAAAGTAATTAGAAAATAGTAGTGGTAAAGGTCTTTACTTAAAATTTATTTATTTTAGAAAAATTAAAAAACATCTTTACTTAAAAATTATTTATTTATTATTTTTAGTTTTATAAAATTAGAAAACGTATTGAAATATGTATTTTTCTATCGGATTATTTTTAGAAAATGGTAGTGGTAAAGGTGTTGGTGGGCAAGATGAGGTGGTGGTGGATGTAGTGGTAGCAGAGAAGGTGGTGATGTTGGCAACAATGTTGGTTGTGGTGTGGTAGGGGTAGAGTAGCGGTAATCACGATTGTGATGACGTTGATGGTATAGTGGTGGTGATGGTGGATTAGTGATTGCGGTAATGTTGGTGGTGGTGGTTAGTGGTTGTGTTTGTGAGCTTGATGGTAGTGTGTTGGGGCTTCGTAGTGGGGTGTATTTATAATATAGAAATTTTTTGGAATTTGAGAAATGGGGAATACAATAATAATATCAGTTTTGTAAAATTTTCTAAGTTCTTTGTAAATTGGAAAACAATTTTTGTTGTTGTCTCTGAAGATGTAAAAAAAATGGTGAACGAAATTCATTTTCAATCTCATTTTTCTTAAAAAAAATCCGAAAAACAATTTGTTTTATTTTTTTGTATCTAAGCGTGCCCTTAAAGGTCCTATTTTTATGAAAATTACCAAAATGATCTTTTTAATTAACTTGACCAATCTTATATATTTGAAAAAATTATATATCTTAAATTACTTTTTCTTATTAAATCTGAAAATTTTATATTTCGTCGTGATTTAGGAACATATTATATTATTCAGATCCAGTCCAGACAAGACAATGGTCGAACTGAGCGATTGTCCATCCTAAGTCTCTAAGATGACAAAATAATTTGGGAAGTTTTTACAATTCTTTTTAAAAGAAATATTATAGAAAGTAGAAAAGATGTGATGTGTGCAATCAGCCGGAGGCCTGGAGCCAGAAAAGAATGTGATTCCCAAATTATCGATACTTGATATGTATATTTGTGATATGTGAATCGTTAGAATTGCATGTTAGTATGTATGTTGGGGATCTTTTCAGGAATTACATGATAGAATTGTCTGATATCTGAGATGCCTTGTAGCCTAAGGAATTGCTTGTTATGTGTTATCTGAAGTTCATGCTATGTTGTTAGTTACTAAGTGAATGCTTTAGAGTTGTACTTAATTAGGATTGTATAGCATGTGAATGCCTGATTTAGCCTTACTTCCTATTTCTTATCTGGTTTTGGGCGTAGGGTGGAATCATTTATTCGACTGTCTATTTGATCTATATTACATACGATTTACAGTCACGAGGTGATTATCGACATTAGCAGGGGCTTCTTGTAGTAAGAGAGTATCGGTGAGGAAGGATTCTAAATGTAGAATCTAGGGACAATAGTAGGGTGTACTCATGGGTAGGACCCTTAATGTTGGTCTTTTGGGGGACTTAGAACTTTGGAACAAATCTTAGCACTAGTGTAGATAGTTATGGAAGGTAGTATGGCTCCGTACTACCAGAAGCACATGATTAGTACGGGGATCAGGAAGAGGCTTAAGGCTTCTAGGAAACCTTCACGTAGTTATAGTTTGAGGAGTAGCACTATGCGTATGTTTTAACCTTTTTGTTGTATATTCATAATAATGATGACTTGTTAGGGAAGGATGTTCAAGTTTTGGTTTAGGATCTAGAAATAGATCGGGTGATGTTGAGTTCCGCGACATGATCGTTAGAGAGGTTTCAAGAGTCATATTGAAAGATCTGCCTAAAATGTTTGGCGTGATCAAGGATGAGCTGATTGTTATGATAGATAAGTAGTTTAGGACCATTCATACTGATTTGGAGGCCAGTCGGCCCAAGGCTTGCGAGGTCACCTTTTGTGAGTTCGATGCATGTGGGGCTCCCTTATTTATGGGAAAGAATGAACCCATCGTCATTATGATGTTGAGAGCGATTTTATAAGGATCTTTTTCCTGGTTGGGGCAAAGGCCAAGTTTACAACCTATTTTCTACATGAGGGAGTTAGAGGTTGGTGGGGTGAAGTGGTCCACGCTCTTGGACTTGAGGTTATTGAGGCTATGACCTAGGATGATTTCATTATTAGGTTTAGGGTAAAGTATGTACCTATGATCGCGATGCAAAAGTTGGCTCGAGAGTGCCAGGATTTCAGGCATACCATTGAGACGGTAACAGAGATCACCACCAAGTTCAATGAGGGCATTGTTTTTCCTTCAGTATGCAGCAGATGAGGATATAAAGATAGCGATGAATTGTGATATGGTGAGGACTGACATCTGAGAGTTTTTCAGTGTCACTTGGTGTTAGACGCTTGAGTAGATGATTGAAGTGGTCCAAAAACGGGATATTGAGTTAGAGTTTCAAAATAAGAGGAAGCAACCCTCAGTTCAATCATCAGCTGTTGCAACCAAGAAGTTCACGGTTGTTGATTCTCGTTTTGGAGGATAGAGGGACCGCAATTGGAGTATGTGCAGTAGAGCACATTCTAGTAAGTGTCATGGGATTGCTTGCCATAAATGTGGCAAGGATGGGCACTTTTTTTAGAGATTTTAGGCAAGGGTTGCAGTTATGTTACAACTACAACCAAGTGGGAAACATACATGCAAATTATCCTATTCTCACTACATATGTTATGGTAACTCTTATACCTGTGATATTGTGGATTACCGATGGCCGTCAGGTAAAGACAAAGTCTCCAAAGGCCAGGGTTCGGGCCTATCAGCTGATGACATAGCAGGCCAGGGCAGCACCTGATGTGGTTACTTGTATGTATCCATTTATCTATCTTTTTCTTATCCCTTATTGTTTGCTTATTTTGTTTGTTTGTGACTAGGTATGTTCCTAGTTGATTATGTGCTTGCTTTAGTGCTATTTAACTTTAGAGTTACTCTGTCCTCCGTATCACTTTCTTTTATTAGAGCTTCGATGTTGCTCTGGGATCACTTTACCGTAAACGTCCATTAGAATGACACATGTATAATATTCCACCCCTTTTGATGTAAATACATTATATACTATGAAATACATCTAGAATATTTGTTTAAAACATCAGAATTCATAGAATTCAAGTGACTGAATTTTCGTCGTTGTATGAAAAATACAGTAAAACATGTTATTGAAATAAAATACATATTAAGTATTATTTTGTGTAAATAATACCATAATATGAAATTACGTGTTATTACAAGTCTGTTTATATAAAGAACATCGAAAACGAAGTTCGTATGTAAAAAGTGAAACTTGCCATTGTACATAAAAACCACGTTAAAACG